TCCCTCCCTCCCTTTCTTTCTTTCTTTCTTTCTTTCTTTCTTTCTTTCTTTCTTTCTTTCTTTCTTTCTTTCTTTCTTTCTTTCTTTCTTTCTTTCCTATTCCGCCTTCCCCGCAAACAGGCTCAGGGCAGATGACAGAGCAAAATCTAAAACATATCATTAAAATTCCATACATCTCAATATAATTTACCGAACAGTTACAACAGTTTAGAGCAGCATAGATTGAAAAGCAGGTCACACTGTTCATATACATAGATCTCAACCTGGTGTCATGTGGTCTCCAGAATCTTCTTGATGTGGGCCCCGTAGAGAGGGTAAACTTCAGCAGTGGGGGGAGGCGAGATTTTAGGGGATGCCTGCTGCCTCAGCCAAAGTCCTGGCTGTTGGCCCATCTGGCATCGGCCAGCGCCTGGGCCTTTTCTGTCATGGCTCCGGCTCGGTGGGATGGGCTCCCTGAAGAGGTGAGGGGGCCCCTCTCCTTGGAGATCTCCAGGAGAGCTTGCAAGGCCTGCCCATTAGCCAAGTCTTTGGAGGGGGTTTTGAACAGCAGGTATCTTTTAGGGGGGGGATTTGGGGCTTGTTATCTTGTATTTGGTTTTAGCTGGGGATATTTTAACTATTATTGCAAGGTGCCTTGAACCCAGAGGAAAGGCAGGATAGAAATTTTGTAATAACAACAACCATAATAATGTGCACACTGCCCAGGAGCATTCTTAGGGTGACTGCACATACAAACCTCTTTGCAATGGCATTGTTGGGGATGAATCAGAGCCTAGATGTCTCAGCAGTTTGGAATGGCCCCTGGGGGGGGGAGATTTATTTCCAGCGTACAGCTGTCCCCTTAGTTCATCTGTGTTTGCAATCCCCATTTCATTCCTTTCCAGTGTATTTTTGTCAGTGGGTTTTGATACTCCGCCCTTTGCTGTTGGTTTTGCAGATTTGTTTCAGTTGTGTAGACATGTCACGTGGTTTATGCAAAGTGGATTAGAAAGAGAGACTGCTGAATTGCAACTGATGATGAAGTTCAAGACCATGCGTCTTCTTGGACTCAATCGAGACTTAGGTTTCCTGTCTCATTACCAATGCTGATTTCTCCACGTGTACTACCTTCTGCATATGACACCTAATCCAATCACACCTGCTATTGTAATTCACCTGCTGTTTTCATTTGTCTGCTATTGTCCTTCGGGATCTGAAATCACTTTCCGATATATAGGACAGATGGACTCACATTTAGCTGTATCTGAAGAAGTGAGCAGTGACTCATGAAAGCTCATACCCTGCCATAAATTGTGTTAGTCTTTAAGGTGCTGCTGGACTCTTACTTTTTTCTACTGCTACAGACAGACTAACATGGCTACCCATCTTGATGGATCTAGTATGTGTATTTGCAACATATGATATTTATGTGCATGTGTATTTGATGATATTTATATGTATATGTACAGTTCTGATTGATGGACACAAATAGCTTTGAGAAATATGTACATTTTATGAGAAACATTTAGTATTTTAAGAAAAACATAAAATAGTGCCTCATAGTGGTTTTGAACACACATGAACACCTGAAGCTGCCTTATACTGAATCAGACTATTGGTTCATCAAGTCTGACTGGCAGCGGCTCTCCAAGTTCTCAGGTCAAAGTCTTTCACATTACACTACCTGATCTACCTAACTGGAGATGCCAGGAACTGAACCTGGGAACTTCTAGATGCCAAGCAGAGGCTCTACCACCGAGCCATTGAAAGTAAGGGGATTTTCTAGCCATCTGTATCTATGGTTCTCCTTTCCAAGTACTGAAGTTCTACAACTTCCTTTAGCAAGGTTGCAATGACTTACAGGAGAAGTCCTCCAGAGCTCCGGGAACAGTTTGAAAAAAAGTAACGAGTCCCACCACAATGAAGTTAATGTTTACAACAATCAACACTTGTTGCAAATACTCTTGCCAAACACCACATCATGAGCCAGGAAAGTGATAAATGTATTGTTTAGGGTTGCCATTGTCTAGACCAATAGCAGGAGATTTTGAGAGTGGAGCCTGGGGAAGGTGTATAGAGGAAGATGTGATGTCACTTCCGGGATGCTCTAGGAGTTTCTCCTGATCTCTATGGTAAAGATCATAGATACTAGGGAAAATTCCTAGAGCACCACTATGGAGGCTATTTTTTCCTCCTACTTCAATTTCTCAAGAGTGGAAGATTGGGGCTGGGAAAGGGAATTCCCTGCTGGAGCCTAGTATCATCCAGCCTTCACCTATGAGAATTTCTCAGATTAATTCCAGAATTGCAGTTTGCTCCAGTACTGAGCTTGCTTCTGTGTTTCCCCACTTTACGTGGCTTGGTTTTCTTCACAGGGTAGAGCCAGCTCTTACACGAATCAAAGAGGACAGGAAACGGATCATCCTCCCAGCGATTGACAACATCAAGTACAACACTTTTGAAGTGCAGCAGTACGCTAATGCGGCTCACGGTTACAACTGGGGACTCTGGTGCATGTACATAATCCCACCGCAGGACTGGCTGGACAAGGGGGATGAATCCGCACCCATCAGGTGAGTCTCTGACACTGTTAGTCGTTTGTGGCTTCCTTGGTTTTTTGAGCAGCAGAGGGCCAAACTGTTGGTCTGTGTAGCTCATGTTGTCTACTCTAGCTGACCACAGCTCTGCAGAGTCTCTGAAACAGAAGGGTCTTTCCCAGCACTTGATATGTAAGATGTACAGGGCTGGATCCAGACTGGATCCCACTGCCACCCAGTAATCTCCACAAAATGCTGCCACTGGAGGACAGGAGACCCTGAGGGGGCCAGAAACAGGAAGGGAAATTGGCGAAAATTGCTGATTTAGTCTGAATCCCCCCACCCTTTGAACTGCAGATGCCAGGGACTGAACCTTCCAAGAGAATGAACGTGTGTTACCTCTGAGCCAGAGCTTGTCCCTCAAGTCAATTGGTCCATGCATCTCAATATTGTCAGCTCTGCCCACCAGCAGCTTCCCACGTCATTCACAACATCCACTGCCTGAGATCTGTGGGGCTCCATTTGGAACCTTCCACGGGCAAAGCACGTTTTCGATTCCGGTGATTTCAAACTTACGCACTAGGGGGCAATGGCATGCTGGGGAGGGTCTGGTTTGCAAAGTTAAGCCGTCATTTGGATGCATGTTGGATGCATCCACCATGTTAGGATCATTGGAGAGGAAGGCCTTTCCCAGTCTCTCTCTCTCTCTCTCTCTCTCTCTCTCTCTCTCTCCTTCTCCCCCCCCCTCCCCTCCTCCCCTGACAAGTCAGGTTCTATTACTGAGCCCTGACTGGCTAGAAAAAAGGGGTGGGTGGCAGTGTTCCCTCTAAGCTGAGTTAGTGTGAGCTAGCTCACAGTTTTTTAGCCTCTGGCTCACACATTTTTGTCTTAGCTCAGGAAAGATGGCCCAAGAGCCAGCTAATTCATGCAGTAGCCAAATCGCTCGCTCACAACGTTAATGCCAGTAGCTCACAAAGTAGAATTTTTGTTCACAAGACTCCACAGCTTAGAGGGAACATTGGTGGGTGGTACTGTTGGATATCTTGCAGATGGAAGGAGGATGGCTGTTGGTTCTGAGATCTGACTGAGAATGCATATATGTATCTTTGCAAGACCAGGGTTGCTATGCAGAGGCAGGCGATGGCAAACCAGCTCTGTTCGTCTCTTGCCTTGAAAACCCCACCAGGGGTCGCCATAGGTCAGCTGTGACTTGACAACACTTCCCACCACCCCCATAACTATCTTTAGAACCAGACAAGTGCAATTTATGCATTTATTTATTAAATTTATGGATCGCCCCATCCCTGATACTTCAGGGCTCTGGGCGATGTACAATAACATTAAAAATATTGGCCAGATAAAAACAATTAATTGTATTAGAATACATTTTAAAAGACAGATGGCGAATACTAGCACTTAGCAGAGAGCCAGTTTGGTGTAGTGGTTAAGTGTGCTGACTCTAATCTGGGAGAACCGGGTTTGATTCCCCACTTCTCCACTTGCACCTGACTGGATGACCTTGGGCAAGCAGTAGCTCTGATAAGAGCTGTCCTTGAAAAAGAGCAGTTTGTGGCAGAGTTCTCTCAGCCCCACCCACCTCCCAGGGTGTCTGTTGTGGGGAGGGGAAGGGAAAGGAGTTTGTAAGCTGCTCTGAGACTCCGAGTGAAGGGCGGGGTATAAAGCCAATCTCCTCCTCCTCCTTATTAATTGTTCCCGTATTACAGAGTGCCGGCTGCTTCGTGGGGTGGGGGGGGGAGAGGTCAAGACAAGCATGGAAAGTAGAGGAGGGTGCCGGCCGAGATGAAAACCATCGCTGTCCTCAACCCAAGGCCTGGTGGAACATCTCTGCCTTGCAGGACATGCGGAATTGCATGAGGTCCCACAGGGCCCTGGTGGTATTTGGCAGAGCATTCCGCCAGGTTGGGGCCAGGACAGAAAAGGCCCTACCCCTGGTTGAGGACAGCCAGATATCCTTAGGGCCGGGGACCACCAGCGTGTTGTCGTCCAAAGAGTGCAGTGCCCTTCCGGGGACATAATGGAGAAGAGGGTCCCGTAGATATGTGTCTGCCATTTCAATCCAGAAAAAAAAACAATACTGTGCCCCAATATGAGAGCTAGCAAATAGCAGGCAATCAGTGGTTCAGTCATTCGTGCAGGTATCCCAGAGCAGAGCAGCCTGAACTAAGTGAAGAGGCCACAGGTATGTGGGCTATATGGGACTTGAGTGACTCCCGAACCAGCTGGCCTAATGCCTGCAGTACCCTTAATGGCCATGGGCCATGGTGGTGCTGCGGAACATGAGAAAACAAAGCAGGAGTTCCATGCCTTTGTCTGCTATTTAATAACCGAAATGGAATTGTGGGGAGGGAGGATGCTGATTTCTTTGGAAGACAGTCAGGAGGGTGGGTAACCCTTTCCCCCTTGCACTGTTTTCTGGATCAAAAGCCAGTTGCCAGTTCTCCCACCAGGAAAGACAACCCATACATTTGACGGTCAGTTGGTAGGTATAATTTGACTTTCACCATAGCGGACGATGAAATGGCAGGAGGGGAAAAATAAAATTGGGTAGCCCAATACTGAACCTAAAAGAAATAGGTTTTCATATCCCACTTTCCTCTACTGTTCAGAGTCTCAAAGTGGCTTACGAACAATTGCCTCTCCCTTCCTCTCCCCACAACAGGCACCTTATGAGGCAGGTGGGTCTGAGAGAGCCGTGAGAGAACTTATGACTGGCCCAAGGTCACCCAGCAGGCTTCATGTGAAGGAGGAGTGGGGAATCGAACCCGGTTCTCCAGATTAGAGTCTGCCACTCTTAACCACTGCACCATAGTACCATATAAAGTATAAATTTGCCCTTAGTTTGAGCTGGCGGTTACTCTTTTTCCCCCCCCGCTGCTTCCCCCCCACCCCTGAAGGTTTCTACAGGATGCAAATTGCTCTTAGCCTCGCATTTCCTCTTATCTCGGCCAAACAGAGGGACACGCTGACATTCACTTTATTTATCACACAGCCCTCCGAGTGCCCGTTATCAGGGGCCTTCTGCTCTTTGTGAAGCCGCAGTATGCAAGCAGGTAATTGCTCAGGAAATCTTAATGCTCCTTGATAAACGTGGCTTGCATGGCATTTCACCCTTTCAAAGTCTGGCCACTTTGGGGGTTTTTTGGGTTTTTTTTTTTTTGGAGGGGGGTTTAAGTTGTCATTCTGTATAGTCCATCTCTGGGAATGTTTTATAGCTGGGCTGGATCCAGTGCTCTATCAAGAGATCTCCACAGACCCATCTTTTTCTCACTGCTGACAGCCATTCCTGATCTCAGGGCCCAAACAGATAGCTGTACAGTCAATGGGCTTCAAGGAGGGAGAGGGAAGGGGGCAAAGCCACCTTCCTACCTCTTCAGTTTGGTGTAGTGGTTAAATGCGAGGACTGTAATCTGGGAGAACCGGGGTTGATATGTAGCTGCTGCTGTGACCTTGGGTCAGTCACAAGTTCTTCCAGAGCTGTTCTCTCAAGAACAGTCCTGGAAAGATCTCTCTCGGCCCCACCTACCTCACAGGGTGTCTGTGGTGGGGAGGAGGAGGGAAAGGAGTTTGTAAGTCGCTCTGAGACTCCGAGTGAAGGGCGGGGTATAAATGCAATCTCCTCCTCCTCCTCCTCCTCCTCCTCCTCCTTTATCTGTTAGTGGCTCTGCTACAGAGTTCGGGCAAGGGCTCTCATAGGCTTGCCAGGTTTCCACTGCCAGCAGGAGACCTTTTGTCCCCTGCTGCCCCTTCCCACCACTGTTCACTGCGTGACAGGAGGAAAAACGGCGGGGATCTGGGATCCGTTCATCGTCGATGGCAGCTCAGCGGCGTCACTTCCTGTACCAACAGAAATGACGTCATCATGTGGACTGCGGCACTCTAGCATTTGGCCCAAACCATAGCGTTTCAGCTGGATGCTAGAGCATCACCGGCAAGGCAAAGCCACGACATCATCTGCAAGCACCCCCTCCAACAGGTGACCCTCCCGCCAGTTGCCAACCCAAGTCTAAAGAGCCCCATGATGGCGAGAGGATGTAGGCAATGTCTGAAGAAGGTGTGGCTCAGGTTTCCACTGCCAGCAGGAGACCTTTTATCCCCCGCTGGCCCTTCCCAGCACTGTTCACCGCGTGGGATCCATTCATCCTCGATGGCAGCTCAGTAGCGTCACTTCCAGTACCAACAGAAATGACGTCATCATGTGGACTGCGGCACTCTAGCATTTGGCCAAAACCATAGAGTTTCAGCTGAATGCTAGAGCATCACCAGCAAGGCAGAGCCACAACATCACCTGCAAGAACCCCCTCCGACAGGTGACCCTCCCGCCAGTTGCCAACCCAAGTCTAAAGAGCCCCATGATGGCGAGAGGATGTAGGCAATGTCTGAAGAAGATGTGGCTGGGTGTTTAAACCCCAACAGCCCCTCACTGAGGAGGAACATAAGAACATAAGAGACGCCAATGTTGGATCAGGCCAAAGGCCCATCCAGTCCAACACTCTGTATCACACAGTGGCCAGAAATACCAGGTGCCATCAGGAGGTCCACCAGTGGTGCCAGGACATTAAAAGCCCTCCCACTGTTGACCCCCCCCAAGCACCAAGATGACAGAGCATCACTTGCCCCAGAGCCCCTATCTATACCTTGTGGCTAATAGGACTCTCTGGTCAGCTGTGCATGTGAGACAGAGCAGAGGTGACCAGGCGGGAGGAAGAGGATCTTTGATGTAAGCCAACCCCCTCCCTCCTGAGCTTAGGCCCAGCAGGAGAGCTTTAAAGTCTGTTTGTAGCAGACTATTTGTCATATGCAAGTCTTACGTCTGCTCCTGGGAGGTATGTGGGGAGGGGCCATGGCTCGGAGGCAGAGCACCTGCTTGGCATGAAGAAGGTCACAGGTTCAATCCCCAGCATCTCCAGCTGGAAGCATCCTTTGGCAGGTGACATGAAAGACCTCCCTCTGAGAACCTCAAGAGCTGCTGCCAGTCAGAATAGACAACAATGACCTTCGTGGACCAATAGTCAGAC